GACAGTGCCTATCTCGCACAATCCATACCTCTCTTAAAAACAGTTGGTGCTATCTATAGGACTTCTCCAGCTGCTAATCTGTTTAGACAACTGCAAACGCTAATCTACCTCCGAAAACATCCATTCTCCATGAGACATTTGAGAGCTCATACTAACCTGCCCAGACCCTTAGCAAAAAAAACCCGAAAAGCTGATTTGGGCACTCGAGCTCAGGTTTTCACCACCATCCTAAATGATGTCCATGCTGATTGCTCTGGCGATAGCGTGCTTGTTGCTCAACATAGCCATCAGTTACATCACCTAAATGCACAAACCCTTCGGCTTATGCACAAAATAACTCACGATCAGGCCAGACAGATTGTTAAAAATTGTACCTCTTGTGCTGTAAATCTCCCTGTACCTCATCTAGGTATAAATCCTAGGGGGTTGATATCTAATGCATTGTGGCAGATGGATGTTACTCACTTGACAGAATTTTTGGTAAATTAAAATATGTCCATGTAATTGTTGATACTTATAGTGGATTTATTTATGCTTCCCTTCAAATAGGTGAGGCTACAAAGCATGTTATTGCTCACATGCTGCCTGCCTTCTCAGTTTTGGGGTGCCCCCAGCAACTAAAAACTGATAACGGTCCAGGTTACACCAGTGTTGCTTTTGCTTAATTTTGTAAGACACTCAATATTCTTCACACTACAGGTATACCATATAATCCCCAAGGACAAGATACTGTTAAAAGAGCACACCTCTCATTAAAGCTCACCATTAACAAAATAAAAGGGGTAGATTGGTATCCTACTCAAGGGTCCCCCAGAAATATAGTATCCCATGCACTCTTCACTCTCAATTTTTTGATCCTGGATGCTAATGGTCGTTCTGCAGCACCTCGCTTTTGGCATACTCAAACACAGACTCAATTCGCCTCGGTCATGTGGCGAGACCCCCTGACTGGCACTTGGAACGGTCCTGATCCGGTTCTTATATGGGGACAAGGATCAGTGTGCATTTATTCTTAACATGCAAAATCTGCAAGATGGCTGCCAGAACGTTTGGTTAAACAAATTGACCAGACCCAATGCACAAAAAATAATCTCATAAATAATTCCAGGGACGAAGGCGTGCCCTGAGAAAATTTTCTTATTTTTACTTACAGAATATGGAGGTCCAGATCCTGTTGTTGGGAATACTGCAGACCTGGCCATGGGTCCTCGAAGGTGGCTTCCAAGAGGTAAACCCTCAAGAACTATTAAGAATATTACACGGCCCTCCATGCGAATGCAGAGGAGGTACTCTTAAGGTTAAACCCACCACCTTTACTCAAAGCACTGATTGTGGCAATAAAATAGCCTTTCTTACGCTTTCACCCCGATTGGGAGGAGGCCATTCCCAGAGTTGGGAATGCTATAATAAACCTCATATAATACCAAATATTAATGGCAGACCAGGGCCTTGCCCTAAAAAATGCAGCTCCTTCCAAGCTGAGATACATATCTCATGTTATGACTCCCTACAAGAATGCACAGCCATCGATGGACAAACTTATTTTACGGCCATCCTTCAGAGGACTTACCGTGGTACCATAAGAGGTGACTGGACCAACACCCCCACGGTGCTTGGTAAACCTAAGTATGCCCAGGCTTCATGCTCCAGCACCCCTGGAGAGTCGATCTGCTGGAACAAGGTTCCCCCAATACATGTTTCAGATGGCGGTGGACCCCAAGAGTTACAAGTCCAAAAACACCTAGAACAAATTATGGAACAAATGTTCCCTAAGATAAATTATCATCCCCTAGCACTCCCCAAGTCACGAGGAGTAGATTTAGATACTCAAACCTTAGATATTCTAAAAGCCACACACAAAGCCCTTAATGCTTCCAACCCAAGCTTAGCCCAAAATTGTTGGCTATGCATGACCCTAGGCACTCCTGTGCCCCTTGCTCTCCCTTCTAATCTCATCTCACAAGACATCATAAACCCCCAAAACACAAACTGTAGTGTTAGCCTCCCTTTTAGAGTCCAGCCTGTAACCTTCAAAAAGTCTTTTTGTATTCAAGGAAGCTTTCACAATGATATCTTCACTGTTGATGTTGGGTTTGTTACCTTCACTAGTTGTAGTCAAATACTTAACTACAGTAGCCCTATTTGCCCCAAAGAAGGACATGTGTTTGTATGTGGAGGAAGCTTGGCTTTTACATACCTACCTACCAACTGGACAAGACTATGTGTCATGGCAATCATACTCCCTGATATAGATGTCATCTCTGGCAATGATCCTGTACCCCTTCCCAGTCTAGAGTATATTGCAGGACGCACAAAAAGGGCAGTCCAATTCATCCCCTTACTAGTGGGGCTGGGAGTTACAGTGGCCATGGGGACAGGTTCAGCAGGGTTGGGGGTAGCAATACATTCTTATACTAAATTGTCTAACCAGCTGATTGATGATGTTCGAGCATTATCTGGTATTATCCAAGATATCCAAGACCAGATAGATTCGCTAGCAGAAGTGGTCTTGCAAAATAGAAGAGGCTTGGGCCTTCTGACAGCAGAGCATGGGAAAATATGTCTTGCTTTACAGGAAAGGTGTTGTTTTTATGTTAATAAATCAGGCATAGTTCAAGACAAAATCCGAGAGCTTCAGGATCAACTACTCAAGCGGAGACAAAAACTTGCGGACGACCCCTTCTCCTCATTGTGGGGAGGGATGTTCACCTATCTTGTGCCCCTGTTGGGACCCCTCTTCTCGCTCCTACTGTTGCTCATGATAGGACCTTACATTTTTCAAAAGCTTAAAGCATTCATCAGCTCACATTTAGATGCCTTTGCTGCAAAGTCCATTCAGATACATTATCATCAGCTGAAAATGGCAGTTCAACAAGAGTATCGTGAGAAGGTTCCCTCAAATAGACCTTGTAATAATGTGGCCTAATCTGATATAGGTCCCCGTGGTGAGATGGACAAGTAGTCAATAATGGGCAACTAGGACCCACATGCAGTGCCGCCGACCACCTAAGACAGAAACAGGGCCTACTGCCGCCCTGCGATCCCAAGACGGGTAAGGTCTGGTCGATCTCATGTAAAGGAGTCCTTGACCCAAGCCAGGCACTGTCCCCGCAAGGTACTGTCAATTTCCTGCTTGATGTATTTGATAAAAAGGAGGGATATGTGGGGGGCGATAGAAGGCTCCTGTTATATTTTCCCTTATTTGGGCAAAAAGTGCTACAGCACCAATTTCCACTTGCCTCGACATCTTCCTGTGGTCCTGGACCTCTACTACCAATCCACAACTAGTCCCACCCAACTACTTCCACTATACGGCTATTTAGACCCTGTTCACTTCCTCAATAAACGAGACTTGATCAGAAAGCCTGTCTTGTCTCCGTCTCTTGTGTCTCTCACCCTGTCTTTTTCATCCCCGTTTCTCCTCCAGGTCATTACCCCACGTCTTGACTCGCGGGCCGAGTCAAGGGAGGGATGTTGGGAATTGAACCCAGGGCCTTCCATATGCTAGGTAAATCATGCTCTCCCACTGAGTCATAACCTTATCTTATAAGAAAATTATGTCTTTAAGAGAAATATTATGAGATAACAATGTGCAATATATTGATTGTTGAAACTGTCCTACTGATCAGTTTTGAGATTGTTTCACTGCTATTTGTTTCTCAATACAATTAATAAAAAAAAGAAATATTATGTGGTCACCAACTTTTATGATATACTCACTGAGTTGTTATTTATTGACTACAACAGAAAAGATGAAAAAAATCTAAACTTTCGAAAGATGAGTTTCCAAACTGAAGCACTCAATTGCAAATTATGCCAGAACCCACTAAGCCAGCAGGGAACAAGTATGCAGTAAAATGTTTCACATAGCAGTTGGCCTTAATCATTGAATAGTCAATCGTATTTCCCACTTAGTACTTTACATTCCAAGGTTAATAGTTACCATATGAATATAATTCAGTGAGTGATTTAAAAAGCTGATTGAATAATATGGTGATATAAGGCAATAGTAAAAAGCCAAAGAATACAAATAACACTCTACTAATAACCATAACCTCTATGTTCTGTCAAACATCTTATGGTGCCAAGTGTGGTTTGCTTTTATGAAATAAAATTAGGAAGACTGAAGCACACAGGCAAAAATAAAACAGCAATTTCCAACTAGGTAGGAGGATACACTAGCAAGAAACCATGACAGTGCGATCCAATACAAGTAAAGAACCAAAAGCTTATCGCCTGCATCAACAGGCCATTCTGTTGTGGAACTATCACAGGGTAGAAAAATGAACATTAAGAATGAAGATTAACTGTTCTGCCCCCACACCCAGGGCCCGCTGAGCAGGCAGTTGAGACTGGGCATGGTGGTGCGAGCCTCTAATCCCAGCTCTTGGGAGGCTGTAAACAGGCAATCACTACAAGTCTGATCTAGCAGTGAGACCATGAACACCCTGTAGACCCTTCAATAACATACCAAAAAAAAAAAAAGAATGAAGATTAAGCAAGGACTGTACATCAAAGCAGTGTTAAAATCTAATTCTTGAAGGAAAAACTTTGAAATATAGAATTCACACTCAAGGCACCCACCCTCAAAAAACTCAAGAAAAAATTGTTTATGGGTTTGTAACAAAAGAACTTAAGATAGCAAAAGAGCAGTTAGGTATGATGGTGCATTCCTGTAAGCCCAGCATTAGGAAGGCAGAGGCAGGAGGATCACTGCAAACTCAAGGCCAGCCTGTACTACATAATGAGTTTAGGAAAGCCTGATCTACATAGTGAGACCCTGTCTCAGAAACAAAAACAAAAAGAAAATCAAAAAGCAGAAAAAGTAAGAAAACTAAACCAAAAATAACAAAGCAAAATAAAACCACAGAAATGACCCCCAAAAGCATAGCACACTAGTCTCTAAAATCAGTTTCCCTACTATTTGTGTAAGAACTCTATACTGTGCTACTTAGAACATTTAAAAATTTGTAAGATCAGTACTGGATGTTACATAATGCTGTGAATAATGTCTAGATATCTTTAAGATTAAGAAAAATAAAACACAATTCAAATCAGACAATGTATTTCGCTTTCAAAAATCACCTTTTATGACCATAATCATATTTTATAAGCACTATTTGTATTCTGTAATTTTATGTTTAAAAAGTGGTTCTGCTAGTCAAGGGACAGAAAACGACCTCAGTGAATACCTGGTTTTATTTTGAAATCTCTTAAGTATGTTCATTATATGAATAAAAGTTTTGCCTTCTCTGAGGTTGAATAGGTGCCACAGACAAGCACAGGATCTACAAAGAACATTTTAGGCAGTTAACCTTCAGTTTTTAAAAGGAAATAACATAAAAGTACATCTGGCTTAACCTTCCTTAAAAAGTATAACCATATTTCCTATGACACCATGGTCTTAGATAAAGACAGTCTGAGTAGAAAGATAAACACCTATAAAAGTACAAAATACGGATTAATTTATACTTAAAAAAAACTACACAGCAATCTTTTAAAACACAATATGCAGGGGCTGGAGAGATGGCTAGGTGGTCTAAAGCACCTACTTGGAGCAAGCTTGGCAAAGCACAGAGACCACGGTTCGATCCCCCAGCACCACATGCCAGCCAGCCCGCCCCCCTGGTGGGCTGAGCTGGCCACACACACACATAAATAAATAAATAATTTTAAAAAAAAAAACAATATGCAGTCCAAATAAATGCATCTAAAAGTCAAGTTTGATATTGATTACCTTTTAAAGAATCACCATTTGTGATATTCTAAAGTTGTGGAAGCTTTAAAGTTAATCTGTTCGACAAGTAATTTTCTAGTTGAGTATTATAACTAAATGTAATAAAAAGTAATTCATTCTTAGAAAAACCCTAAATACAACTTCACATTTTGTATTTGCACACTATTCAGCCTATGATAATCTTGATTCTCAAATTATTATTTCTTTGCAAAAAAAAAAGCAAACATTTTATTCAATAATATGCACTGCAAGTTTACTACAGGGCAGATTCTGTGCTAGACAGCAGCGAACTAAAATACAACATGGTCACTGCTTTCAACAAGTTTACTTTGCTAGACTGTAAATTCTACCAAGATGGGATATACATGACTTGACACTGTAGCCACATAATAGACCAAAATATAGTAGGTACTTAAACATTTATCAAGCATATGTTGTATTTGAGGGTACAGAGGTGGAAGAAAAGTATTAAATTCAATAACGTAGTATGTA